CATCAGCCTCAGCTGTGGACCACTCCTCAAGCAGAAATACCAGGATGGGGATGCAGACCATGCTTGCATACAAGCCCTTCCTTTGACGAAGATTTAGGACATTTCTCTCAGGTTTGATCTCCTGGCTTATTATTCAGACATGTAGGATCTCCGATGCCAAAAGCAACCAAAATCAGGAAAGCTCTCTGTAGTTAGCTTGGCTCAGATGTGACTAGAGAGGGCAAAAGTATCATCACATGAGGTCGGTACCACCAGCAGCAAAGTTCTCAAAAGGAGTTCACACTTTTGAAACTACCAAATCACAGCTTTGCAGCAGGTCAGACCTCTGACACCAACCTCCCTCAAACAGACCTGGGAAAAATATGTGTATTCACTACTTGAAAAGGAAGAAAATAGAGCCAGAAGTCATATTCCCAGCAGAAGGTAGCAGGGTAATACCTACTTACCCAGAGGGCTGCTGCCAGCCACCTGCAGCCCAAACTGCTGCTTTTCTACCTTGAAACATGCACAGCTGGAATTACTTAGGACAAATGAGTTGAGCTCATGGAAAATCCCACAGGAGAACTGATAGTTTCCTTGTCTGGTAATAAAGGTAATGAAAACAAGTTTGAACAAAAATTTCAAATACCATTCAATGAACAAGCATATTGAATTAATAGATTCCAGGAAGAAAACCTTTACCCTCATAACAATCTGCTTCTTGACACACCTTTAGCTGACAATGAGGATAACAGCTTTTCAGCATCATGAAAGAGGAAATTAGGACTGCACTTCAAAAATAATCTCCTTATCAACACTTCTTGTTTATCGCATCTTCATTTTTACAGGTCAGTAAATCTTTCATTGTCTAGTGCAAAGGATTCACAACCGTTTTTTCAGTAGAGACATATCCCATCTGTAGGCTCCTGCTTAGCTAAATTTGGATATTAGGATTGCTATTGAGATTGACTTTGATGCTGAATATAGAAGACAGGAACGATCCCATGCAAGTTCGATGTTCCAATTTAAGGAAGCATCTGCAAACCTAAGTTACAAATCTCTGAAGTACATGTTGCTTATAAGTGTAAGTTGCAGCTGAGAAATATATCACATATATTGGGGAAGTCAAGCGTAAAAGCCTCGATTCCTCAAATTGGCAGACTTTAGATAGCTTCTTATATGGCACAAACTATAAACACAGAGTATCAGTGTAGCCCTGTGCAATACATTGGGTAGCTACAGAGCTACAGAAAAATTCCTGTGCAGCACTAGAAGATGTGCAGCCCAGTATAACTTGGTTACTCACTACTCAACATTATTTAAGTAAATACAAGATGCCTGTCTCAGAAATCAGGCTACACAGGCAAGCAGTGTCGTGCTGGTGTATCAGCAGAAGGTCCAAGTGCAGTGATAGGTTTGGTTTGCACAAATAGGGGCACCCAGACGATGGCACCTAAGCTCTAGGTTTTTAATTTAAGACCCAGTTACAAGATGCTCTTTGTTCCCCTGTCTGCTGGCAGAATTGCCCTGACCCCAATGAAGTTTACTTACAGCAGATAAAGATGAGGCCCAGCAACAGAGCCCACTACATGAATCTAATTTGGATCTTACATAAATCATTCCATACAAACATTTATCCAAGAAAACAACCCAGGATGCCCACAGATTTGCAGCCACATTTGCCAACACCAGCTGAGCATCAGGAAGTGTGAGTTCCCACTCCACTGGAACGAGTTGGACTCAGAGATGACTGGACTTTCCCATACTGCTTGCTGCAGGAGTCTCCTACAGTCAGGGCCTCCAGCGCTAAGCTGGGGACGAGACATTGGTCAGAGACAAATGCAAAGACCCCCTGAATGTTTGAAGAGAGGTTTCAGTGTGTCTGAGACACTTGTCATTGAGCCACTTTCCAATGCAGATTCACAGCACACCTGGGACAGACAACCCTGCATCCCGCAGGGATTACATAACTGAGGATGTGAGCAGAGAACCAGCCCCAGGTCCTCCCTGCATCCAGAACAGCATCCTCTGCTTTCAGACAGTCACAAACACTGCCTTTCCAGCCATGCCCAGAGTTACATGTGTGTGTAATCCTTGGACCACACCAGCCTCCCTGGTGCCTCCCAGGGACCACATCCCTTAGCCTCCTGCACGAAAAGGATGCAGCACCAAGCTCACCTCCAGCTGCACTGTGCTGCTCCCAAACTGGCTCTAACTGCAGATGTCAAACCTTGCCTCCTTCTCTCCCCTTCACATTGGCATTGGAGGAAGTGATGAAGCACAGAGCAAGTTACTGCACTCCAGGACCAAATCTTGTGCTGTTTCGTGTTTCCGATGATTTTCAGACTGGCGTGGCAACCCAGCATTTCTGTCCCGTGACATTGCTAGTTTCAGGTCACTCATTGTCAAGCAGTAAGGGGACCCAACCCTGGAGTAATCCCAGAGGGGAACCCTCTGCCCAGCTCAGCCAAAGGCTGGCCTGAGATGAATCAGGGTTTTCCAGAGACCGGAGATCATGGGTTTGCCCATCAGGGCGGCCCCTCTGCTTCTGCTTCCTGTTTTGGCAGACATTGTTGAGTGTGAGGTTTTTCCCTGCTACTATGGACTTTTAGGGAAAAGAGTCCCTGAGAGGAAAGCAGCAGCCCTAGTGGGCAGGACACAGGCCCAGTGGGCAGGAAGCATCTGCTCTCCAGCACTGTGCTAGCTCAACTGGGTACCTCCTTCCAGCACAAACATTGGTCTCAGATCATGTCTGCTGCTGGGGGATGTCCCCATGCCAGACCTGCACAGATTTATAGCCCCTCCAAAAGTTGTGCAGCTACACAGGTGCTGAGTGTGGGCATCAGCAGCACCAGGAAAGCTCAGGGTTCACAATCAGCTTTAAATCTCAGGACCATTATTTTGCATTAGACCACAGCTGTCAGATGTAAAACAGAAGTCATTCCAGGCACAGTAACCAGGCTCTTGGACTTGCTACTTGTCCCACTCCCTGCCCCACTGCAGCTTCCCAGAAAAGGAGGGAGGAGGTAGGCTCTGCAGGACCACAATAGTTTGATTTTGTGCCTGCACGGCAACTGCTTCAGCCCAGATCTCATCCAGATGTGTGCTGAAGATGCCTCACATTGAGGCTAAGCAATGGACAGCACAGCCCTCACAGCCTCCACAGACCCTCTGCAATGGCCCCCCCCAACCATTGCTGTCACCCAGACATCCCCTGGCTGCCCTCCAACCATCCCTGCTGTGGCAGCACACAACTTCCACAGCGTAACAGGCTCACCACAACTCCATGGCCAGGGATGGGGGTCCCTAGACATCAAGAAGAGAAATCAGGAAACCACAGAATCATAGAACAGTTTGTTTTGAAAGACACCTTTAAAGGTAATCTAGTCTAAACCCCCTGCACTGAGCAGGAACATCTTCAACTAGATCATGTTGCTCAGAGTCCTGTTCAACCTGACCTTGCATGTATCCAGGGATGGAGCAACTCACCTTTCGGGGCAACCAGTGTTTTACCACCCTCATCATAAAACATACCTACCTTATCTATGATCTAAATTGACCCTTCTTCAGTTAAAAAACCATTACCCCTTGTCCTATCACAACAGGTCCTCTAAAATGTTTGTCTCCTTCGAGTACTGAAAGGTTCAGTAAGGTCATGCACCCACAAGTGGAAGACAGAGTTTGGGAGACTTTGGGGTGAGGAAGGAAGCCATTGGCTCCCAGTACCTTCAGTACACAGCACTGAAGGTTCTGAATGATAATACTGTCTTCTGGGAGTGCTGTGAGCCCTGCTCTGGGGAAGGTGCTTCACTGTGGGCATGATGCAGGACGCAGATACAGGCAGCTGTGCTTTCAGGCACACACCTCACCCCTACCAGCCTCCTGGTGGCAATGCCCTGCTCAGGGAGCAAAGCTTTCATAGAATCAAAGAATATCCTGAGTTGGAAGGGATCTACAGGGATCATCAAGTCCAATACCTGGTTCTGCACTGGACAACCTCAAAAGTCACACCACATGTCTGAGAGCATTGTCCAAATGCTTCTTGAACTTTGGCAGGCTTGATGCCATGACCACTTCCCAAGGAAGCCTGTTCCTGTGCCCAACCTGAGCGAAGAACCTTTTCCTTATATCCAATCTAAACCTCCCCTGACACACCTTCATATCACTCCCTCAGGTTCTATCACTGGTCACCAGAGAGAAGAGATCTGTGCCTACCCCTCCACTTCTCCTTGTGAGGAGACTGCAGATCATGATGAGGTCTCCCCTCAGTCTCCTCCAGGCTGAACAAGCCAAGTGACCTCGGCTGCTCTTCATACAACTTCCCCTCAATGTCCTTCACCATCTTTGTTGCCCTCCTTCGGATGCTCTCTAACAGCTTAAGGTCTTTCTTATATTGTGTCACCCAGAACTGCACACAATATTCAAGGTGGGGTCACATCAGTGCAGAGCAGAGTGGGACAATCCCCTCCCTCACCCAGCTGGCGATGCTTTGCTTGATGCCCCCAGGACATGGTTGGCCCTCCTGGCCAAGTAACTGGCTGCCAGAGCACTGCTGACTCATATTTGACTTGCCATCGACCAGGACTCCCAGGTCCCTTTCCTCGTTCCCCAGTCTGTACATCCGGAGTTGACCATCCCAGGTACAGAATATGGCATTTTCGGCGGCACCTGCTCCATCCCGAATGGAGAGTTTCCAAGCCTACATTGGGACACATCGCACAGACAAAGCCCTCGGGGCAGTGAGCCCAGGGTGCCCGTGCCCCATCCACCGGTCTGTCAGGACAGGGCGCTGGGGTTCAGTTCCTCTGCAGGGACCGACCCCGGGGCCAGCCACCCCCCGTCCGTGTCACCTTCCCCGCCGGAGGGGATTTCTCGGTTCTCTTTGGCTCGACCCACGGGCCGGGGGGGGCGTAGCCGGGATTTCCCGCTCGGTCCCGCCCCGAGCCCTTATAGCCGGGCTGCCCCGGCTCCTCCGGCAGCTCCGCTGACAGTACCGGTGACAGCCCCGCATCCAGCCCCGCATCCAGCCCCGCATCCAGCCCCGCCGCCGCCCGAGAGCCGCCGCAGAGTAAGTCCTTCGTGCCAACTACCCGGAGCTCGGGTCTTTCCCTTTCCCCGTCTCTCCCGCTTCTCCCGAGCTGCCGCCCGACTCCCGGCTCGCCTGCTGCGAGTCTGGGGAGCTCGGGGGCTCTCTGCTGTTCCTGAGAGGGGGACACAAGTAGCAGGTGCTAAAGGTTGGGTTCCTGGACACAGCAACAGGTTTGAGTCTCACCGGGTAATTATCAGAATGGAGAATAAGTCAGACTGCTGCGAGAAATATAGCAGCTCCAGGCACACCCCAGAGCTAGACACCACAAGGATATGTGTCTGGCAATTCCATTTTGACAGCTGGGTCTGATTTCTGTTGCTTCTTCCCAAAATTTCAGGGTACAGGCTGCAAGCAGTGTCTACTGTAACCCCCCCCCCTCCAACTCTTTCCCCAAAATCCAGATGTAGGTCTTGGACACCAGGGCATCCTAAACCCAGACCAGGCACTGGGATCCGAATCCAGTGTGGCATTTCCCAGCCTCTCCTGTTTGTCTGATTTTCCCCCAAACCACAGAAAAGTAACTGGATTATGAGTCACTCAGCCTGGCTGCACTGGAAAAACACCATTTCAGTGCCTGGATCCTGGATGGTCCAGGGCAGCCCATGTGGTCTGCACCTTACCAGGGTCAGTGTGCTAAGCTGGCACATTTCTGCATTGCCATGCTTTCCATTTTGTGACTGTAGTTCTTCCTAGTCAGGGAAGTACTACTGCCCCTAGGACCCCTTGAGCACTGAAAATCCTGTCAAAATTCCCTTCTATCCTTAGGCAGGAGCCCCATATCCACTGTGTCAGCTCCTCGGGCACAAATCGAAAGGTTCAACCCCAGGGTTAGAATCCTCACTGTGCTTAAAGTAGGATTTCTTTTTGAGGCTGCTGCAAAGTAAGGAAGAGACTTTCTGTGGTTGGAGCATATGGCTGATCTAGAAGCCATGGTCTCTCACCATCACACCCAAGTTCAGAGCAGAAAACCTGAAGAAATCCTCATTCTCCAAAACATTCCTTCCCCATCAAAGGACTTTGAGGCTTGCCAGATCCAATTGAACCAATCAAATGGGAGCAGAGATCTTTGGAAAACTCGGGTTTGGGTTTGCTTCAGTCACGTTCTCTATAAAAAGATGCCTGAAAACCAAAGATTTTGGAAGTGCCAAGAGAGGTTCTCAGGGAATATGCGTGTTTCTTCTCAGTTGCTGTTAGCTCGAGCAGTGAACTTTGCAAATTCCAGGCCTGAAAGCAGGATTTGGCTTTTGGAACAGTAATATGAAAACAAAATTCTAGACAGCAGCAGCTGGTTTCTCTTTCAGAAGCAACAGTTGAAAATGATGCTGCTCAGATTTGAAGCAAGAGGAAAAAGTAACATATTACAGTGCATTCTCTCTGCTTCTTTCCAATAACAACATATACATATAATTTTCTCTTTCTCTGTTTGAAAAATTCTCTGTAATAGCAGGAGATGCTGTTTTACAGGACTATTTTCAGTTGTGCTTTAGTAATTTAGGGAAACAAAATTCTCATTTAAAAATTGCTGAGGCACTGCACAGCTATATCTACACTATTCCCCAGACAGGTGATAGCATGGTTTAATGCTGATTTAAAGCATCTCAGGCCAGATGAGATGCCATGGGATCCTCTGGCAGTTCTACCACTGCTGTTCTCCTGAGTCCATTGGGTCCCTCATCACCCCCAGCCCTATGGGGGTGCCCAGAGCTGCTGAGGCACATGGACCGAGTCCCCTGGGAAGGCTCTGCTACTGCCTTGGCTTCTCTATCGGAGACATAAGTTTTGTTCCCCCTCAGCTTTTGACTCCACTAAGAGCAGAGCTTGGCCACCATCAGGATGCTGCTGGACTACATTGGGTGGTGGGTGTCTCACAGGGATCTGCAGGCAGGAGCATGGATGTGAGCAGCACAGTGAAGTGTCAAGGTGGGGCTCTGGGTGGCCCAGCTTGTCTATAGACTGCGATTTCCCAGGCAGAGCCAAGTGGAAGCCAGTGGTGTATCTACTCAATACTTAATCCAGCTACCCAAAATTGTAGGAAAAAACCCCACCTCCTAGAAGGGCTTCCCAAGTTGCAAAGGTTGGGGCTGGCGTCTACATATACTCTTTGCTTTGATTAATTATCTGCTTATTTAGGAGTCACCACATAGTCTGAGGTTCATTAAACTCAGTGTCTGCACTGCTCTACTGCTTCAAAAGATTGTTTGACCCAGTGCAAGTTTCTTGTGTGGGCAGGGATGACCCCACTTCCAGAGGGAACAGGTGGGGGAGGAATGACTGATGCAAATGCAGAGAATAAACTTTGCTAAATAAGTCTGGATTTCTGAGAGGCTCTCGGAGAGTGGGGAATTTCCACTAAAATGAGAGATAAACCCTTGTGACCTAGGTTGTCAGACCGCTTGAGAGGACCAAAAATCCAAACAAATGTTTGTTAGTACTGGCAGCAGCTCAGGAAAAAGAAGTCAAAAAAAAAAGATCAGCAAAAAATTTCAGAGTAGGGGTAATTAGTCAGTCTCTTCCCCGAGTCTCTCTAGCACGCCATGAGCCGCCCCTCACGAATGAGCTCGTTCCTGAGTGTGCTGCATGAAAGCTGCCTCATTTGAGGAGGAAAAGGAGAAAATGGGAAGCCACTGTGCCAAGAGTCTGGCCTGGGCCCTTCTGTGACATGGCTGTGCTCCAAGAGTTTCCATTTTCCGTTCTGCCCACCCCAGAACAGCCCCAGCTCAGAGGTACATGCTGTGATCAGCATCATGGGGAGAGCTTGCTCTGTCCCACTGCAGCTACACCAGCAGTCACAGTACCACTGTCCTAATGCTGCAGGACCTCTGTACAGGGTGGCAAAGGATGCTGTGTGAGCTGTGCTACTCTTCTGTTTGGAAACTGTAAGCTGAATATACTATGTCAAAAATAATTGGAGCTAAAGACTCCCCTGGCACAAACCATACTGCCACATAACAATAATGAGAATGATGTTGATAACAGTAAATTAATAATACTAGTGAGTGGGGAACAATGTCAACTCTTGACCTTAAATCATTAAATTTCCCAAGACTTGAATTGGAGCTCCGTGCCTGGGAAGTGATTCAGCATTTCCCTGGTGTTAGCTGCTAAAAGAGTTAGGAGCCTGCTGGAGTTTTAACAGTCTCTGGTTTGAGAGCAGAATACAGGCATAGAGGAGCAGCCCATGGCCATCTAAGCCAGAGCCAAGTTCCTGGTGAGTCCTGTCTGCCACAGAGACCAGGAGCAGATGCTGATGGAGGCAGAAGATGCAGTGCTAGCACAGCATTTCCTGCCTGTGGCCCCCAGATGCAACAAGCACCACTTCCTTTTATCTGAGTATTTCTTCCAGAAAGTGTGAGGTTTTCTTCCATAAGGAAGTTTCTTATAGGAAGTTTCTTATAGGAAGTTTCTTATAGGAAGTTTCTTATAGGAAGTTTCTTATAGGAAGTTTCTTACAGTAAGTGCATGGCTATCTAACAATAAAGAGAAGAGATGGAGAGAGGAGTTTTTAATACCTCTTGCCATTAAGGCTGAGGCTGCATTTCAAGGTAAAAGTGGGAGCTGGGATTTACTGCTGGTATTTCCTACTGCAGATACAAACATAGACCAACTAGCAGTGACACTGATAATCACTGGGCAAGCATTCAAGCTGGCCAAATGTGAGTGAGCATGGTAGCTATTGCATTGACAGCCTTACTTAGATGCTTAAGGTTGTCTCTTTCAGATTATTACCAGGACAAAGTTCTGACAGATTTTAAAAACTTTTATCCAGCTTAATCGTTCTGTTATGGACTCTCTTATGTGTAGTGTCACTTAAATGGTTTTCAAAGTTACATTGCATTCACCTTGGCATTCAAGAAGAACCAAAACTGTTTTGAAATCCTCCTTTCTGATCATCATTCATCAAAACAAAAGACCTTAGGCTTTTGGAAAGGGAGAGGTACTTTCTTTGGTTATAAAACAAACAAATAAAAAAGAATAATAAATGCTTTGTATGAAATAATTGGAGACAGAGAAAGAACTCAGCTGAGTCTGTGCTTGAAAAACAGGAAGGAAGGGATTTGGCAAAAATAATCTAAACACAATTATATATTGGGAAATGCAGGCTGGGAAAAGAATCCTTTATCTTCTTCCCAAATGAGTTTTCATCTTCGTTGCATTTTAAAGGCAATAGCATTACTAATCCTGAACATGACCTGGCATCCAAAGCAGGGCAAAGAAAAGCTCTCAGTGATGCCGGGCTCTAACTGCTCTCTGTACCACCCGGCTGCTACCACTAACTTGCTGTTTCAAAGCTCTACAAGGTGCTGGGAGCCAACAGGAGGAAAGAAAATTAAAATGAAAAGCCACAATCTTCCAAACAGTTTGCCCAGAAATAAGTATCATGGTTTGGATCAGCGTGATACATATCAACAGTATGAACTTAACAAGGGTATTTGAAGATCACCACTTTGTGGCCTTATAACTGAAGCCGAATTCTTATTTTATTTAAAGCCTAATTCTTCTGCCCTTCCTCAGTACACATAAGCCAAAACTTTCTTGCCTGAGAGTTCTTCATACAGAAGTGTTCTAGTCTCCTAGAAAGTCACTTTAAATAAAGTGTTATTAGAATAAGGATTGGAAACTATGAGTCACTTTATTTATTTGCAATAATTACATAATTATAATCATTACACAAATTGTCATAGTTGTGCAAATAAGTATTTAGCAATACATTAAATTATACAGGAACATAACTCTAATTATGAATTCTGAAAATATGTTGTAACAATAACAAATTCCTGTTATCACTTATTTGTAGTACAGGAGTGTTGGTGGTAGAGTAGGACAAAGCAGGATAATGTCTGTTTAAACAAGGCTAGACCACCCTGATCCTCATGCCTTGTTCCTGTTTTCACTTAGCAGAGATCAGCAAAAAAAGGCCCTGAGGAAGGTGGGAATTGATCCCAATGCCATATAACAGTATGAGAGTTTTGTGGTTGCTCTGAAGAGGCACAGGACACTTGTCCCACCCATCCACATTCATATGCAATATCCATGCTCACGTCCATAGCTGTGGAAAGTTCTGCTCTCCTGTATCCATATAAGCTCAAGGTCTCAGACCATCTGAATCACCCTTAAAATGACTCTTTGATTTTCTCTAGGTTCTTTGTTAGACCAGAGAGCTGCTTCCTTTCTCTCAGTTACCTGGAGTGACATTGCTCAGGAGCATTCCTGCAGAGCTGTGCTCATTCCAGATGTGCAGCATTCTCCACATTGCCTACATGTATGCCTTACCATGTTTTTCCATGGTATTTTTCTGGCTAACTGTTATAATCTGATCAATTCTTTTTCTGAAATTTACAGGCTAGAAGGAAAATGATGAAAATGTTACCCTTTCTCCAAAATGGTCCTATTGGAATACGCAGTGGATCAGAGGGTTGCATTGGTCCAAACAGGCAGTTTGAAAACCCTTTGGCATCAGTAGCTGAGCAAGTGCCTGCCTGTTCTGAATCTTCTGTAGATGAGATCTGGTCCAAGAACCAGGAGAAGATGAGTGAAAGGCCAGCGGGAGCCTGCAGAGCTTCACGTGCCTCTTCCATCACGAGCAATGAGAGCTGCATCTCTGCTGGAGACAGCCCTGAAAAGGGCAGAGGGATAACGGGAATCCTTAGAAGTGCCTTTAAGAAAATTAAAAAGACCAAGCCACCCAGTGGTAAGTGCTCTTCCATCCTCCTTGTACCACTTCAAGGGCCATAGTTACTTCTAGAGGGGCTGCACAAGGTGGAAAATTGCCCCCTAGAGAAGCGAGGGCACCAATAGATTGAAGTGACTTTTCCAAGAAGCCTGGGGAAACATGGGCTGAGGGAGACATGATCTCAAGTCACAGACCTTTAGTACCAAGGGCACAGTCCATTGGGAACTGTCAGTTTGCAGGTTTTCTGTCCAAAAGTTATTTCTACCTCTCATGGGGGCACAGAGTTCTGAGGGTGGGTGAGAAACCAAGGCATACCTCTCAGCTCTGTTACTCCATGAAACCACCACCTTGTGAAATCACAGAACCACAGAATGGTTTGAGTTGGAAGGGACCTTAAAGATCATATGTTTCCAACCCCTCTGCTCTCTCAATCTCCTCTTCTTCCAGGAACAGGAGTAAGCACCACATGTAGGTCTTTCCTGGGATTGACATATGAACATACAGCTTCTCCAGTCGCAGGCAGTGGTCCTGCAGGATGCTTGGGGAGGTAGAGAAATACTTGTTTAGAGAAACCCAGCACCAGAGAGGAAAGTGTCCCTTGTTACCTCACTCATAAACTTTGCAAGCTGTACCTTAAAATCCGTTCATTTTATAGCACTGCCTCCTTTGCTGTGGGGCTCTTACGAAGTCTTATTGTTTTAGTACAAATTATCTTATTTCCAGACAAGCCTCTACCTGTCTGACTGGTGTCTCCTTCTCCATGTGTCAAATGTTTTCCCTAACTGGTGGTTTTCCTTCTTGGCCTTGAATTTGCTGCTGAAAACAGGCCTTTTGTACCTTTTTTCTTATCAGTTCATTGCCCCATTCCGGATGTCTGCAACCAGAACTGCAGAAAATATTTCAGATAAGATACCACCAATGCCTGGTACAATATGTTACCATTTTTCTGTCTCACCTGGGCATTCCTCACTGGATTCATCCTGGGGTCATAACTGACATTTTCACCATCACTTCCCAGTAACGATTTACAAATTCTCCAGGCATCTCTCTTCCTCCTCCATCTCAAGCTGATTCACATCCAGCTTGAAGCAGAAAATCCTATTTGTTGCTAAGTAACTTTTGTTCTATTGAATTTGTATCTTGTATTTTGTGCTATTAAATTTCAGCCCATTTACTATTCAAGTTATCCCATTCTTCCTGTAAAATGTACCAAGCCCTCAGTTTCAATAATGTCTCTGAACTTTGTGTAATCAGCAGATGCCAGTAAGGCACTCCCAGCTTTAATGCCACAACCTCTACTGAGAATATGAAGTAATATGAGTTTCATGGATAATGTAAGCTTTCTCCAGCCAGGGTCCTCCATGCAAACATTACACACCTAACAAAACTTATTTTGGGGTATAATTTCTTCAGTTTAACTAATAATTTCCCAGACTGCACTGTCTCAAGCAATTGGCTGCTATTCAGATAAGATAGTTCAATTGTATTTATCTTGCCTGCTAAATGTGTCCTTCAAAACAATTTCACAGGTCAGGTTGTGCTAATCTATTTCTGGAAACCCATGTGGTATTTCCTCTGGCACATCTTATTTAGCTACATCTTTCCATCTGCATTTTTTCTAGAGCCATGCTTCTGACTCGAGATCATATTAATGGGAAAGGGATAATCAGTCAATCAATAAATATCTTCACAAGGCTAAATTCTGTAAAAAATTATATGTAGCTCATGAATAGTTCACCATATGCAATACACTGGTGATGGGTATTCAAATTGCCATTGCCCCAGTTAAAAGCAAGCTAGGAATAATCTGATCTTTAAATAAACAGATTTTCTATATGGTGAAGGAGCCCAAGATCTAGCATTTTAGAAATATAAGCATTTAAAAAAAATATTCCAGAACTGTCATTTTTTATAAAACATAAATTTAAGTCTTCAATCTTTGGTAAAGAAAGGTTGTTCTTTTTTCACCAGTCAAACAAGTCATGGTTCTCCTTGGAGAGCAAAAGCTTTGTGATGCCACTCAACATCTGATTGCCCTGGAGAAGAGCCTGTCTAGCAAAGGTGAGGAGGGACTGAACGCCAGCCAGGAAGACATCGAGTCTGTCTATGAAGTTCTGAAGCACAAAGTCTTCAGTGTCTTGAAAGACTCCGTGCTGCTAGCAAAAACAAACCCAGACCTGCTGCAGCAGGCAGTGGATGCTCTGAAAGAGCAGGAGAGAGAAGATCAGAACTACATGTCAGAGAATCCACCTGACCAAAATATGCAATTTAGACCTAGAAAATGGAAAGAGCTTTGGATGGCTACAGTAAAGGAGTCGGTAGAGGCTCGAATGAAGGACACAAGCCGTACTCCCATAAATGAGAACCTCTCTGCAGTCGGCCAAAACCTCCTGCACATGGGAAAGACAATGAAAGAAGATTTGACAGTGGTTGTAAAGTACATTAAAGAGCTTTATCCTCCTGAGTTTAATGTGTTCAGCATATATGCAGAATTCTACCATGATTATTTTGCCTCCCAGGCAAAGAAAAATGCTGAGTCTCATCTGGAAGACAAGGATATTTACCTTCTTCTCTCATGGGTGCACAACATTTATCCAAGGTAAGTGAGACTTTTACAAGTTTTTATCCCAACACAGGTTTACTGGCTGCAAAACAGGCATTTGCTTGATTTATGGATTAGTATCACTGCGAGGCAGTCCAGTACCTGCCTAGGTTCTGGTATCACTGGTGACATGCTGATTTACACTAGCTGGCCAGGACAGCTGGAAGGGACACACTTAAGGCTGCTAGTCTGTAACTGAAGGGCTGATCCCACCATTCAGGCTTCTGGACAACAAACACAGATGTTTAGAGCTTCACTTGTGGGGTAAATTGGTCAGATTGATTGCCTTGATATCTATTCCAGTTGCACATTTGAACTCATCCTTAGAAAATCTGGAAACTTCAGCTCTCTGGACCACAGGAGAGACAATAAATAGAACAACCTGAGATGCAATTATCCTGGGCATGGAGGATGTTGCTTAGGTGTTACCCACAGTCTATGCTCTCCTCCCAATTAGGAGACCCATGCATGCACCCTTGAGAGAGGACATCATCAGCCAAGGGTCACCCTTCATCCTCACAAACCCTGTATGTTATAGAATTGAAAGTATTCCTTGTTGTGGCTTACAGTACTGGATTGAGAATTGAGGGCTCTCATTTCTTAGGTGGAAACCAGTAATGTTTTTTCTATTCTAAAGTCATTCAACCTTCACCTCTATTTTTTTCACTGATAGAATATAATGAGTCAGTGTTGGTCCTGGGAGTTTTCCAGAGTTATGCTCTAGGTCAGGATATTCAGACCTGAACCAGTATGTGTTTGGAAATCAGTAGCCGTGAGGAGGAGGGCTCAGCCTGGCACTGGGGACAGCACTGGCCAGGGTAGCAGCTGCTTTGTGGGGTGTTCCCAGAGGTCACATCCAGGTGTTCGCTGAGGGATCACCTCTCTCCATGGCCAGCAGCAAAGGGAGCAATGAGGAGAAGGAGGAGGGCTGCACAACAGCCTGGCCCCAGCTTCCAGTGTCGTACCAGAAACAGCCCATGTGCGGGAAGCAGGGCAGTGCACCCCTGTGGAGCTGGGTGATGTGCAAACACGGGGCTTGGGAGATGTTCAGGGTTATTCTCCTCAGCTCCAGAAGGACAGGCTGCTTCCACATCAGCTCCCACAAGTGTTGTATTGAGCTCCCCAAGGTTCACAGGTCTGCTTCCTCACAGCTGCTCAGGAGCATCCGGCTCAGCCAGCACACGGTGGGAACATGACAGCAGGGTATGAATCCACCCACTGTACCACCCAACCAGCCACAAAACACCAGCTTTTCATCTCCTCACGTCTCTGTGTTGGTGGAGAGAAGTCATGCCCAAGGGCTAGACCCTCCTGCTTGCTTCAGATCCCCCATGCCCATCAGAGCACAGTGGCTGGTGCTCAGGAATTCAGAAGACCATGACTCCCTTCCCAGAGTTACCTGTGGTCCCATCCTCACAGATCCCACCCCTGGCACATATTCATCTCCTCCAAGTCTTGCCCAGACTAAGGACAATGTATATTTCCATCTGTTTTTTCACTGAGATCCCCGTAAAGTGTTAGTGATTTGCATCAACAGCTGTCTTCAATTACACTGCCCTTGGAAATGTGATTGTTTGGCTCTTTTCATTCCAGAGATATGAGAAAAGATCATGCTTTAGCCAAGGAGTTGGATAAAGTTAAGCTTGGAAGCCTTTTGCCATCAAGTCTGAGCAAAGAGCTTGAAAAGAAATACCTTGACAGTGAAGAGGTGAGAATCTGTTCAGTCACTCCTCTTCCCTTTACTGCTCCCCTATGACTTCCTGGAGAAGCTGTGACTTGTCCTGAACACACAGTTCTCACCTGTGAGCCATACACCCCACACACCCTTCCAGGGAGAAGTAAAAGCTTTTGTTTGGTTTTGGGGCACAGGTCAGCTTTCTGCTAGATGGGACTTGCAGAGCAAACTTCTGCTTAGTCTTGGGAGCCATCCGAAAAGAACTGTTCTGTTCTTGAAAACTGTGTGGTAGGAAGGGGAGGGGGGAAATCCAACAACTAATCTTCATGGGCAATTTTCCAGTTGCCTGTTAAATCTCCAGAGGGATTTGTAATCCCTCTCATAGTAATATCAAAAGGATCCCAAATTACTCCTGGTCTCTGCAGATGTCCCAGACCATGGGTGAGTGCAAAGCATGGAGATCTGGTCTTAAAAAAATCTGTTAGTTTAATAGAGAATTTCTTGGTCTGCAGATGATAAAAGGGGCTCTGGTTTTTGTATCACTTAATAGAAACAAGAAGCAACTTCTACAGTACTCCCAGAGCTCAGTGTTTTTGGCATTTGGGGCTGGAGTTCCTGGAAAATGAGAAGACAAGTTCCAGGTTTAGATGTAGCTCTGATGGTTTGCATATGGGAGAGGTGGTGTGAGGTCTGCAAAGCCCATGAGCGAGGCACCGGGAGATCAGCAATATGTACCAGACACTGTACAGACCATTTCCAAAGCCTCACCTCAGTGTGCACTCAGAGGGGTCAGAGCAGAGAAAACCCGAGAGCATTTTGCTTCATTCTCCAGCGCTCGTAAGGCATCAGAAGTGATCATGCAAAAGGATTGCAAAACCAAGTAGCACTGTGTGTGACCACAGGGCAATGTGTGGTTGGGGGAACTTGGGCTCTGGCACATGCAGCTGCCTGCAACCTTTCTACTCACCGATCCCCTCCCTGCCCTCCTAATCCCCACGGATGTGGTGGGGTGATGGGCAGGGATACAGAGTTTCATCTTCATTCCTACCTTGAAATACTCCGCTCACTGTTGCATTGATGGATACTGTGAGGGGATTGTCCTTGTTGTTGTGGTGGGTTAAGCATCTTGTAACAAGGAGCCTTCCCAGCCAGAGCCGAGGAAAAGTCTGCTGAGCCAGGCAAGAGGTGGATGGGCAAGTACAACCTGCAGAAGGCAGGAGCTGCTGCATTCATGTTGTGGTAAATGCTGTTGTTCTTCCTTCCTTAAAGGTTACTGTCAAAAATTCTCTGAGCAAGTGTTTAGATAAAGAAATCCAAAGATGGAAAGAAGACAAAGAACCAGAGAAGCTAAATGGGCATTTTCAGAGTGAACTCCTAGGAATATTTGTTATCCAGGTAATACAGAGCTATACTAAAAATAGACAATCTCATCCTTCATTTACTTGGGATTTGAGACCAACCATGGTCACTATGGGAAAGCAAAAGGCTAAGTCACTTCTGTGGGGCAGTAGCAGAGGTAGGTGCTACAGGGGAGCCAAACCCCCATGGTCTGTCATGGCCCTGGTACACCACATGCTGGAGGCAAACTCTTCTATGGGCAAAATGGGAAGGAATGCTGCCCTCATTCCCCCCGTGCAGTGTCTCCTGCATCCCCAGTAGCAGAGAGACAAGAGGTTCCTTGCCAAGCAAGGAATCTGTTGCTTGCTCTCAGGGAGACTGTCACAGGCAGAGCTGCCCTTTTTCCAAGCTCAAAGCTTTCCCTCCTCTGCCTGCAGAGAATTAGTCAAGCGTATTTTTCAAAAAAATAAACCTTTCATATGATGAGATTGTTGTGATTAAATTGTATTTTAATGCCATCATATGACATTCAAAAAAGAAAAAAAAGAAAACAAAACCAAGTGTCACTTTCTCTACTTCCTCAGCTATTTTACAGGCTTTCTTTCATCCTTCTTTGCCTCTTCCCATTTGAAAATGAAGTTCAAAACTGGCTTGAACCCACTAAATAAGTATAGCTGCTCTGTATGGTGCCTGGCTCAGTCGCAGGGGGGGATGCAGGAGAGCTGGGTACAGTTACCTCAGTTAAGGATCTGCAGCCTCTTTGACCAGCCAACCTGGCTTTTTCAGAGCAGGCAGCATTTAATATTGATCTTGCTTTTTTGTTCGTTTTTTAGAGCATCTACAGTGGCCAGAAGCGAGCCCAGGACATCAGCAGTGCTGTGGGGGAGGAGCTGTCGCGGCGCCTGTTGAAGGAGCTGCCTGCCTTCCTGAGGAGGTGCGGTAAGGCAGCCGCGGGCAGCGGGGCTGGCAGAGCCACCCGGGCGTGCACTCACCCACCTCTCCTCTTCCCATCTCCCCTCCAGCTACAGGGATGCTTTCGAAGACTTTAAGGAGAAAAGTAAGAAGCACACACACTACAAGCCTATACTGATTGCAAATATTAACAACTGTTGGAATTTTAGGTAAGGTCCAAGAGAAAAAGTTTTCTCTTTCCTCTGCAGGCAACCTATAATAGTGTGATAGAGGGGAGGTACTTCAGAGCGAGCAGAGATAGATCCATCTGCCTGCAGAGGAAAATTTGGAGACCTCTGAATTTCTCTCTCTATCATCTGAGGATAGACTATTCTGACCTTGCTGATGTTTCCTTGCAGAGAATACACAGAGAAAAACATGGCAGAAAAGGACGACGGTAAAGCCGATATCCTCAGCACTCTTGGCGATATTGAAAACAGCGGCTTTGACGTGCTGCTTCAACACCTGTTTGCCCAGCTGAAGGTACTGTTCCCATGCCCCACACCCTCCTGCCCCATGGCTCAGCTGGTGCCAGGGCAGGGCACGTTCTCCTGCTCTGCTATCTGTAGCTCAAATCTCTGATTCAAATCAGCAAAGTTCAGGAGGCCTCTGGGCCAGGGCACCACGTCAGTCCTAACCCACACTACTGCCAGAAAACTCCCACTAACCTCTGCTTGAGCTGGTCCTCAAGCCTGAAGGCAAAATGGGTGCAGTGACACAGGCATGACTGTGCAGGTGACATAACTCGTGCTGATTGCATTTGAGACAACGGGCTGCAGGAGGGAGAGTCTCAGCCTGCAGCTGTTTACTCTCCAAAATGTATGAAGCCATTACAAATGGCATAAACTGCAATTACACAGCTTTTGACTTCTTCATAAAGGTGACCTAAAGGGCAAATTAGGTTTTTTTTTTTTTTTTTTTTTTTTTTTTTTTTTTTTTTTTTTTTTAGTGTATGTAACACAAGCTTTTTAAGTTACACAATTTTGGTGGAGGGGAAGGAGGCTTAGGAGTTGGGAATGTTCAGCCACAATCTCTCCTGCTTTCTCTGTAGAGCCTTTTTGAATGCATGACAGAGCAGAGTTGCCTTTTTTTTTTTTAATTTTCATGTTTATTTACTGTGGCTGAGAAAAATTGAAAACCTCTCATAATGATTCACTTTTTTCCCCCTGATGGTTCCATAATTCTCTAATCAGACAAGATGGTGTGAACAAAACATTAAAAATGTGGAAATAAAAAAATATGAACCTTTTGAGCTCTTGGTCTTCTCCATCATGAGGAACCAAGAAGGGGACACAGTCCCCTCTTCCCCCACCCCTGTAAGCCATTGTCACACACCCTTGCCCAGGACTGCACGCTGCCCTCTCACTATATAGGATACTGTACCTATAGCAATGCTAAATATAAATGTTCATAGGATTTGTTTTGAGGCAACTTAGCTGACTTCCCTTTTTTTCAGCCGATGTATAAGAAGTTCACAGAAAATAAGTGGGACTCCAGCAACGAAATTATGAATGAGATCATTAAAACCACCAGCAAACATATTTCAGACTTCCGGACGTTAAGGGACCCTTTTTACCACGTAAGTCCAAGAGAAATATTGGAGGGATTCTGGGATGCTGAGGCTGCATTTTCAGCTTTGATATTCTGTGACTCAAGTTGTCTTGACCAACACTGAGCTGGTGAGCTGGACTGGCATCTGAGAGCTGCTCAGGCAGTGTGCAGCTTACCTAGATTAGGCATATAAATCTTAGTCTTCTCTGACAGAAGCAGACTCCTGTAGCTCTGCTGCAGTGTTTGCACAGGAAACTACCCCTGATGTAAAGAAAGTGCTTTAGAGGCCACCCAACATATGGCTTTATTTGTGGATTTGGTTTAGCAGTCTTGAAACACAGATGCAGTTGCATGGTTCAGTCTCATTTCTCCTTTGATTGCCCTAAGGACTGGAGGATATGGATGCAACTGGGACAAATCCCAGATAACTGAGCCAGAACCACATCTTCACTGGTGCTGGAGTATATATGAAACATCATTGTATAAAACAATATTTGATTTCCTGCCTTTGTCTTTTTAGTAGCTGAAACAAATTGATGATGTTTTGTGTATTAGAGAGAAGAACAGGAAGAGCAGCATGAATTCCTGTTTCTCTCTAATACTATTACTTCTCAAGCCCATGGAGATCTTTTCCTCACTTTAAACTCTTCCCAGAAGGAAACAACATTTGGAAATTCCCATAGTTCACTAGAGTACAAAGAAATTCTCGGCATCTAGGATGTGGCGCAACCAGCCTTGGGAAGCTGGCAACCAGCAACGTTCTGACATGTAATCAGCAGCAGGGACTGGTGGGGCATGTCTTACAGCACCCAAGACAATTTTGTCTCCCATCCAGCCTCATGGTTTGTCTTGTCCAGAAGCAAAAGAGAGATGGATGATTCCCTCCTCTCCTTCCCAACAGGCTATTGTTGAGAAGATCCACACCCGTTTGGTTAAAGAGTACATCGTGAGGCTGCTGAAGAGGAAAGTCAGCCTGAAAACTCCAGCACAGCAGCAAACTCTAGCCCAGCAGATCTCCAAGAATGCTGCTGACTTGGAAGCCTTCTGCATGAGCAATGTATGTGAGTGCTTGACACAAGAGCACAGGGCACAGACACACTAAAAACCAAGGAAATAAATTTTCTGGGGCCTCTTGTTAACCTTTCCAACTCAGTTTAATTTCCTGGAAGGCAGAACCTTAGGCAGAAAGAGGTTTCCAAGTGTCTACAGGCAGGAGGGCTCTCCTGCTACCACCCTACCCCTCCTTGGTTAGAGAGACATGATTTCATCCTCCTTTGCCCTGTAGGCAGTTTGAAGGTTTATATTAATAGGATCAGAATACTTACACAATCTTTTCAGGTTTCAGTGCAACTTCCATGAAGTCTGGGTTTTGACTGTGTTATGATCCAATTACTGAGATATGCCTCTGCCTGAATTAAGGTGCAAACAAGACCATATGCTGAAGACAATAATAAACAGAAAATGTGAGGTAGAGAAATAGAAAAAAATAGAAAAGAGTTGAGGGAGAGAGAGACAGACAGACAGATCAAGCAGAAGACTGTCACCACCCATGAATCCAGCGGTGTTCCATCGGTCCCTCTTCATCCTGGTCTTCTCAGTGGTGGGGGTCCCAGAGTCATTCTTCTGGAGGTACCACCTTTATACAGTCCAAGTTCCAGGTATCCACAAGGTGATCATAGATGCTGTTCCTAAAACTTGGGATGATATACGTATGAACAGTTGCTTCCTTTCCCACACTTTGCCATAGTTGGGAGTTTTTGTCCAGATACATTAGGCAGGATGTGCTAACCAGATCTCCCCTCTCAAGGCCTCAAATTAGCATCTTCCTGTCATAATTGTCTCCTTCTGTGCTTATCTCAAGTTCCTGCTCTGGTGGCTTATCCTATGGCAAATTCCTTCTGTGGCCTTGACAGTGTTTTGACACAGGCAACCGCACACTTTAAGTCCTTACAGATTTTTCCCTTCTCCCCTGTTTTCCCTCACTCTGCTTGCTTTTAAGCCAGAGGCTAAAGCAGGCAGCCCAGGGTCTCTGGTATACAAGCACATGGCTCCACAGGAGCCATGGCTGAAACACCTCTCTTTGTCCTCTGAGATCACTTCCCTCCGTCCCTGCTTCTAAATTTGCCTGAAAAAAGTGCTAAAAGCTAAGCCAAACTCTGTCCTCTACCACCCCTCGAGCATTTGACTGGAGAAGGAACAAGCTTGAGTTTCACACAGTGTGGATGGGAGGTCAGGCAGCTGCATCTTGGGAATTCCGATGGCCAGGGAAGAGGTCCAGTTGGGGCTTTTACCTGAGAGGGCAGGGAGTGGATTTTGGCAATGCCTGGAGATGCTTAAGTCAGGGTTGTGTGTGAACCTGGGAGAAAGCAGCACATGGCAGTGTGTTACGTGGCCTGTCAGACCTCGTACACACACTGGGCAGTGGAGAAACACAAAGAAAAGAAAACGTGGTGGGAGGGAAGAGCAGAGGGAATCTGTCCAGGTGGATGTGAAAACCTCAGTCTTATGGCAAACCTCACACCTCTTGTGTAAGAGGATTAAAAACCATCAAAAAGCTAATCCAGTTTTTCTGTGGCTGGCCTAGACAGCAACACCACTGAAAACAATTGAGACACCTCAAATCACTGACCTGTCCTTCCTCCTTGCCTGGAAACATCCTCAGGAGCCAGCTCTTAGGCTGGGCAGAGATTTGCACCCCCAAGATGCTCTGCTAACCACTTTCTCTTCTGGCAGGGATCTCAAGCCACGTGGCTGAATTCAGTGCTCCCCAAACTTGCTGAAATAATCCGACTTCAGGATTTAGGTGCTATTAAAATTGAAGTTGCAACACTTGCCACAACATACCCAGATATCCGGTAAGAGATGATGAAACAGATTTGCTAATATTCATATGGAATTTTAATTGAGCCAAGAAACAATCAAATAACCTGAGCCTATGGAAATGGGTGGGAGTTGCCTGCCAGGCTGTGGCAATCCCGGTGCCAAATGGACAACAAAGGAAAATATGAATAAAAGCCTATTTACATATTCCAAATGATTTACATATTCTGGCCTGATTTTCTCCTTTGCCATGGAGATTCCCTTCCCTACCCCAAACATCCCAGGACAGTGCTGGGTCCTGTGTAGGATCACCAGCTGCTGAGCTGGCCCCCACCAGGGACCTCAGTGCCCACTGTAGGGCAGGGGGCTGCATCCTGATGTGGAGATGTGTGGAAGGAGATAACACTTGCCTGTTTTTTTCTCTTTCACAGGAAAAGGCACCTGGAAGCATTCCTGCACATCAAAGCCAATTTGTCCCGAAGTGAACAAAAAAGCATCCTGGGCTACTTGGCAGACAACAAAGCCTCCACACCACCCAGGGCCATGCTCTTCTCCAACATAAATGTGTCCTAGGCCAAGGCACCCCTCGGCACCCCCTTGTGCTGGACTGTTGGATGAGCCAGGGATGGAGGCTGTTCCCCTGGACAAATACACAGCACACACTGCCACCTTTTCCTATGGAAAGTGCTTTGTCTTAATCTGGTGCTCAGCACCTCTATGGGAATTGCTGTTCTCCGTGTGAAGATAGGAGGAGGGGACACCCACGAGATGCAGTGCCTGCAAGGACTGGGACTGCTCCTCACACCAGCCATGGATTCCCCCCCAGAGTCTCCTTGGTGCCACCACATTCTCTGCCTGGACACTGCCCTAGTACTCTGACCTCCACCTACCTCTCAGGATGCCATGAAGGCCATGACGCTGACTCCCCAGCTAGCCCAGACCAAGCAGGCACCTGCTGTGTAGATTTGTCTTCTAAAGAAACAGAGAGAAACAAAACTCAAGCCAAAATTCAGAGATGTTGGAAAAGTCCCATGTGAGCATGTTTGCACCCCCTTTGCCTTTCTCAGAGCCGTGCAGGGCAGCTGTGTTAGGCTAAGGGGAGAAGGTTTCTGGTGAGGAGGAGCTGTAGTTCAGCCATGGAGGGCTCTTGCCATCCCTCCACACTGCAGGACCCTGGACTCAGGACTTAGAGTGGCCACAGCTGCACGCTCTGACTCAGCAGCAGCACTGCCCAGGGGCATCAGGGTTTCTGAACCGGCCCTGGAGAGCATGTGCTTCCTTCACCTCCGTGAGGTGGGAGCACCTGACCCCCTGGCAGACAACCCCTCTGCGGTGACCCCATCCAGTGCATCTGCACAGAGTGGCACCCTGCTAACTGAGCTTGGGAGCAAGCTGCCTGTTGCAATGGATTGTGTAGCATCTAGTAAAACACTTTGGATATCACTGAAGCCCTTCCTTATCAAGGAGAGGACTTTTCCAGACCCCATTAACAACAGTCTTTGAATGGGGTGTGGAACTGGTCTCAAATGCCATCAAAATGTACTGAGCACCCTGTTTGTATCACCATTCTCTTGCTTGCTCTTTCCCCTCTTGCTGTGAGTTAGATATGATGTGAAAACACAAATGGGTCTCTTGTGAAACTGTGTTTTGTTTCTTACAGCCTTAGCTTTCTTTCTGGGAAGCTAACCCCTTACCAAAACAACACTGTGTTTCATTGGAGACCTTTCCCTTCTGTTTTTTTTTTTTTCTGTTTCAACTTTTGTATCAGTCTGTGGAAAGTCACTCCGGAAGGAAGACACATGATGACTGTGCAAACTATATCATGTATTTATGTGCATATGCAGTATACCACTGGTGTATTTTTGCATCAAACTCTATTTTTTTCTCAGTTAGAGATATTAATTTACAATGTTTATATTTAAACAGTATTCAAATACGCTAGAAAACTGACTCATTTATTCTGTCTCTGGCTGTTGTTTACTGTGTTGCCAGATGTAGTCCTATGTCCTTCTTCGAAGGGCCAGTCCTTCCACTACTCCCAGCCTGCTCTGGTGAATATCACCCACTGGTTCCAAATAGGGAGAGTCTTGCTGGACTATAGACAGGCTGGTAAAGTAGAGGCACCTTCTGTTTGTGCTGTGTATGGGTCTCATAGCCTGGCTTTCCTTGCTCTCCGGAACAAGGACTGCCATATACACCGTGTTTATGGTATCTGGTATAACAAGATCCAAAATGTCAGCCTCTAAGCACTACCACAGTCTCAATGTTGAACAATAAAAAGATATGAATTTGACATTTGCATTTGCTCTGGCATTGCCTTCCTCCCTCTCTGTTGTCTCCTCTTGTTCATATGAGCCTTTAGGAGATGCAGCCCACCAGGATTTGTCCCCAGCTGGCCCTGCTCACCCCCTTTTACCCTCCTCACAGTTGCTGTTAGCCCCATGGCATTGCTGCAGCCCCTGTGAGACAGACAGAGTGATGCAGGCAGCTCACTAACAGTGGCCAGTGCCACAAACTGGGAGAAGGAGTCCTTTGCCAACAGGTTTTGTGGCAAAATCGTAGCCTGAGTGAAGAACACTGCTTTGGTTTTAGTTTGCTGCCTGGTCACGGGCAGCACAAACCACCCTCTTCTTATGTAAGCACACTCACACAAAACTCATATAGACACATAATTTAAAAAATTATTATTTAAACACTTAGCTACAGTTTAAAGCCAAATGCCAAAATGACTTCTGACAGTGCTAAGCACTCAAGAGAACTGTCACCTATTGGGTAACATTTTCTTTCCCAATTAGTGAAAGGTCATTTTATTGCTATAAAAAATGGATTTTGATTTAGAGATCTGTTAAGGGCCTAGAGAAACACATAATAGAAGTATTGTGCTGATCTTTAAAAAAAAAATATTCCAGCTAAGTAAGTACTTGAAGGAAAACAGTGTATCTATTTATGTATCATAATTAGGATGGGTAGGAGAAAATGGTTTTCATACACATTTCATAAGCCATATGGAACTGCATTGTGCAATTCTCCCCCTCCTGCTTTAAACATCCAACTTTCAGCTCTAATAAGCCCAGGAAACTAATTTATTTATCTTCCCGCATGACTCGACATTTACAATGGCATTTGTTTATATTTGGCATATTACACATAGCCTAATAGTTTCAGGACATTGCATAAATGTCTTCTGATAACAATGTTAGTTTAATACAATAAATAGCACTCCTATAAACTAAGTAAAATTTTCTGAGGTCAGTGTGGCTGGATTTTCTTTATCATGCAACCTCTGCTGATGCTCATGCCTGCTTCTCCCTGAAGGCAGAGCAGATAGCCAAGATTAAAGAAAATAAAATCAGTTTTATAGAACAGTTAAGGAAGGTGGTTGCTGGGCACAGACAGCTCTCCCAGTTGACTGTCACCAGTGCCACCAGGACATCAGCCTACAACAACCACCGAACTGGGCATGGGCTGAGCTCACACATGCACTCACACACACTCTTGGTTCCCTACCCACCAGGCACTTCCATCATTTGGCAGCAGACTTGTAATTTTCAGTGCAAAAGACAAAAAGACACAAACCACAACAGGGGTGGATGGAGGCATTCCTCACCTCCTTTACTCCCACAGGAGCCATCTGTGGCATACCAAGACCCCAGTGACACCTGGGGAACTTCTGCCCTTGCTGCAGGGGAAGCCAAAACATCCAGAGAGCTCACAGACTCCCCCCAGTGTGAGCAGGAGTGCTCTGTCAGAGCCTCTCCTGAGAAATTTTGGGTTCTGATGACCTGGAAATGAAGCCTTAAGAAACCAGAACGCCTGCAATTCCTCCCTTTGAGCCTGGGTCTTCTCTCTAGAATCCCCTGAGAGATAACAGCACTAGAGGCCAGTGACCTTGAGTGTGACACCAGCGAAATTGTGTTTTGCCGAGCTGTAGATTGAAAACCATGAGAGTAATTTCTGCCTTCCTGCATGACTTAAAAAGAGGAAGTGGCCAAACCACCCCCACCAATATTCTTGAAACACAAAATAGCTCTTCTGTAGCCACAATAATAAAGATGGAAGTTAATGTTGGGGGATTTCAAGAATTACTCATCAGTGCAGGAACCACAGATTTCCCCCTTAGCAAAGATGCAAATCCACACTGACAGGAAGGGAGGTGAATCCCGCCCCCTGGGAGGAAACCAGAGGAAATGTGATGGAGCAGAGACACACATCAGGCTGTTCAGGTGATGTTACTGAAAGAAAGTTAACTGTGTTTCTCAAAGCAATACAAAGTTTTTAATGTTACCATGAAGGAAATGTTTGTACCTGCTGGACACAATCTCTCCCTGCTACCAGGGCTTTCTCTTTTAGAAATAATATTTTAAAAAAACCTTTTTGAACTGATCAGCTTGGAGACTTCCCTATAGAGCCATTTTTCTTTTCTCTGGATCTTGTCCCCAGGTTTTCAGTTCCTTCTTTCACCTCTCCACAAGTCTCCTGATATCTCCCAACACTACCCAGTAGTCCCCTTGGACCATGTTCTCCCAGTCTTCTCACCCTTCATCCAGCAGAAGGGACACAAAAAGGCACATTATATACCAGCACCCAGAAAAACCACCATTTGAGGTAGAGGAATTCATTGCTATTTATCCAAGCAGTTTTCATCCAAATAAGACAGAGCATTTGAGCTGTAATAACTCTCCTAAGGGACTAATAAAAGAGGAAAACTTAACATTTAGCAGAAAAGCTGAGCTCTCAAAAGTACTCATTAATGTTGGAATGACTGTGAAGGGGAAAGATTAGCTCTGAAAGGGAGGAGGTTATAACAAGCTCCTAGGTAGAACAATATTGGTCCTGGAGTCTTCAAGAGATTTTGAGCCCTATCCCAAAGGCTGGAGGCCAACCCCCAAGTCCCACTGGCAAGAGCAGTGCGGTCTGAAAGTTCAACCAAGCACACAATTTAGAGAAAATAGCAGGATAAAGTTAACAGTGGTATGTCCTGGCTAACAGAGGGCTGTTTCTGCTCTTTGGTTTCATTGTAGTCCCTTCTACACTACACCAAGGCTGTAGGAAGTGGTGGCAACCACCTGAGCAGTGGGGCAGGGACTGTTATCTTCATGGTCCCACACAGCAGACCCCTTGTCTTTGGCAAGGTCTCAAATTCACTAATTGTGACACAGCCCCTCCACAATCTGCATGGGGGCTATGCAGACCCAAAAGGTGGTTGAAGCTACCCACTCCCCCTGTGGGGAGTGACAGAGGTATTTCCAATTCCCCAAAGGAAGCATTCAGCCCAGCAGGATCCTGGCAGCCACCTGCTTGTGACAAGCTTGTGCAGACCCTCCTGGACCACACCAGCCTTGAGGCCAGTAGATGTGAAAGGAATGTCACCTGCAGAGGTCACACTTCCTTCAGTGGTGTCATTGCTGTCCTGCCTGGGCACAGGTAGTTTGCAGAAATCGTCTCTGAGCAGCCTGGTGTCCATCCCTCAGAATGCTCAGGAGTCACAGAATCACAGAATATCTTGAACTGGAAGGGACCCATCAGGATTATCAAGTCCAACTCCCTGCTCCTCAGAGGACTACCTGAAACTAAAGCATTTGACTAAGAGTATCATCCAGGTGCTTCTTGAACTCTTGGCAGGCCTGGTGCTGTGATTACTTCCCTGGGGAGCCTGTTTAAGTGACCAACCACACTCTGGGTGAAGAATCTTCTCCTGACCTCCAACTCAAACATCCCCTGAAGCAGATGAGGAAAGGGCACCCTATTCCACTTCTGAGAGATCACAGGTAAGTAAAGAGAGGCAGGTAGAACCCACAGACAACTCCCGTGACCTTATAGGGCAAAAAGACCCATAAGAGTTACTGAAAAAAGAGGGCAAACTTTTGTACGCACTGGGTGAGCTACACCTGCTCCTGGAGGAACCTTGGCAGCTTGCAAAGATGCCACAGGTAAGATCTACAGGTTAGTCCTTGACAAAACACAGCATGAGTAGTAATCCAGATAACCTTTGCTGTGTATCAGTAAGAGAAACCTAGGAGGCTGCAGAAGTAGAGAGTGAAGTGGGAGAGCAGCATTCAGGTACCTGCCATGCCTCTGGCTGTGCTCAAAAATCTTT